AGGCTAACACCGGACAGATGGACGACCCCAAACAGCAGTGGCTCATGATGACCTGTAATCTTGCTCTCATTCAGGTGGCTGAATCAGAAACACACAGATGTTTTATATTATTTATATTATTGATATTTTACCTAATCCATCGGAAACCGGCTTTAGTTCCCATCAGAGATAAATTAGACAATACAAACATGAATCAACTGAACAAATATTCATTAAATGTTAAATAAATATAAAAGAATATGAACAATTACTCTATGAGACTTCATTCTGCAAGAGTCCTCGGTCTTGAATACCAATGAGTACTCATTATGAAAATAGATTTTTAATCAGTTTAATTATGAATGAAGGCATATGATCTTAGGCTCTGATGAGCAGCTGTGATTGTGGAGCTGCTCTGCTGTCTTCCTCAGGTTCAGGCCACTGTGGTGGGCTTCCTGGCAGCTCTTGCGGCCGTAGGTCTTGGTGCTCTGTCCAGAGGGGGTGTAGAGCTGGACCAGGCGGCTGTCCTGTGTGCTAGCAGTGTTACCACTGCATTTGTGGCAGCTCTGTCCTTAGGTACACTACTCCTTATTACTTCAAAATAACATGAAATCAAAATGTGCTTTCTTAATAAATATCACTGGTCTTATTGTTTATGATTCACTAGTTTATGTTATGTAACATAAATATAATTTTCTCATTAGCTAGAAATATTTAGATGTTTATATGCTTCTAAAATTATTTTAGTAACAACCAACCATAGGTGGGAAAAAAAAATACATATCATAAAAAAAAAACCTTTCACAATCGACAATGCAGATAAAATCAAGTTCCAATATTACATTCTGCTCAATATATACAAAAGTATAGGTAGGAAAAATTACATATCATAAATAAAATAACTGTCTACTTTTCACAATCCACAATACAGATAAAATAAAGTTCCAATATTTCTTTCTGCTCAGTATATACAAAAATAAGTTTAATTTATATATACTGTATGTATATATATATATATATATATATATGTATATATTGTTTTATTTTTATTTATTTTTATTTTGTTTATTTTTTTAAAGCAAGAATTTATTAAATTGATCAAAGGTGACATTAAAGACATTTACAACATTTACATTGATACAAAAATTTGTGTTCTTTCTATTCAACAAAGAATCCTGAAATAATGCATCACAGTTTCCACATATTAAAAAAATAGGAACACTGAAATCATAGTCTAGGTGTTGTTTGTTATTTAAAAATGTTATGCCTTACTCAGAAATGTATTATACACAATGTTGCATTGCACATCCTGTACAAGCTACAGTGCCATTCCAGTACATATAAACAACATGAATTCCCATCACATTTCCATTAAAACTGTCCAACAAAAAAGACTAGCCAAAAGAATAGCAGTCATTACTCCAGTCTTCTGTGTCACATGATCCTTTAGAAATCTTTCTAACAGGCTGATTCATGCTGCTTAATAAAAGCATTTGCATTCCAAAAAGTAGGACCTTTCTGGATAATGCAACACAATCTTTTAGTCTTTTTCTTTGAATCTTACATTTGTTTGAATATTACAATCTAACATCCTGTCAGTTACTGAGTCTGCTGCTTTCATCCGCATCCAGGTCTGGTGATGATTGGTGTGATCATTGGCTCCAGGAAGGTGGGCATCAACCCTGATAATGTGGCCACACCGATAGCAGCCAGTCTGGGAGATCTCATCACTCTTTCTCTGTTGGCTGGAGTCAGCAGCACACTGTTCCAGTACAGAGGTGTGGGGCCTTTTAGTTATTCATATATGAATAACTTCTAGTTTAAAACCTAAAACCTGTACATTACATATTGTTAAAAAAGGCTGATATTTATTAACAGCCTTAATTACTGACAATCACTAGATTAAAGCAGTGTTTAAAAAAACTTTTAGAAATTATTGTGCAATTTAAATTTTCATAACTTATTCAACTTGCTTTTATATATATTAAGTGATTATTAAATAATTAAGTTATAATGTATAATAAAGTATTATTATTTTTTATTTATATTAATTTAATTAAATATATTCAAATATTAACTATAAAAAATTAAGTAAATTACAATTAAATCAATTAAAAATAAATAACTTTTTTCTTTTAGAGCCTCTCTAAATATTCCTTACCTAATGAGCATGAACTGTTTCAAATGTACCAGTAGAGGGGAGTAGAAATTCACTAAAATATTACTTTATTACAAAGATGTGCATTTTAAGGTGTCATAGTTTCCATGGTTAAAGATGACGTTAAAGAATGGGAATCTTCTTTCTATTTTGTAACATCACACGTTTTATTCTCTAGAGACCTTAAAATCTGAATTTGCACAAATCATAGCACATTATCTGAAATATGTAACTATTTACTATGTCTAGCATGTTTCATCGACAATGTTTGTGTGTGTCCAGATGTGTGGTACTTGTCCCCGTTGGTGTGTGTCTTCTTCCTGCTGCTCATTCCTCTCTGGGTGCTCATCGCTAGACGGAGTCCACAGATTAAAGAGGTTCTGAAGTCCGGCTGGCAGCCTGTTATAGTGGCCATGTCCATCAGCAGGTACAAACATGCATACAGAGACACAGTCTTCTATGAGTTAGAGTAACATTAAAATGGTTATATAATCATTAATAACAAATTAATTGTGCCTGTAATAGAGGACGCAGGGTTCCCACAGACAATATGGACCCCCTGGACCACAAAACCAGTCATAAGGGTCAATTTCTCAAAATTGAGATTTATACATCATCTGAAAGTTGAATAAATAAGCTTTCCATTGATGTGGTTTGTTAGGACAGGACAATATTTGGCCGAGATACAACTATTTGAAAATCTGGAATCTGAGGGAGCAAAAAATTCAAAATACTGAGAAAATCACCTTTAAAGTTGGTCCAAATGAAGTTCTTAGCAATGCATATTACTAATCAAAAAGTTTTTATATATTTACGGTAGGAAATTTACAAAATATCTTAATGGAACATGATCTTTACTTGATATGCTAATGATTTTTGGCATAAAAGAAAAATCGATAATTTTGACCCATACAATGTTTTTTTGGCTATATACCCCAGCGACTTAAGACTGGTTTTGTGGTCCAGGGTCACATATATAAATATCAAGAAATTAAATATATATATATATATTTTTTTTTATCAATCAGTTGATATACTTTTTTTTTTTTAGAAATTGACTCTAAAATGATTAAACATTATTAGCTAGAAATTGCTCAGTTTAAAGTGTAGTCACGTATCATAAATAATTAGACTACTAAAAATGAGTTGGCCTAAAAGTATGAGAACCCAGTTGATTAGCTGTGGCATAATTTAATCATTTCAATAAGAGATTTTGACATTTAATTTTCACATAATTTTTGTGCTTAGAGCTCACAGAAAAAAATAGAGATGGTTCAGTTTACTCAGTCACTTTATTTTTTGTTTCTCTTCTAAAATATTAAATAATGTAAATCTCTAATATGTGTAATCTACTAGATTACATTACAATATATAGAACTAATTAATGATGAAAAGATTATTGCTGTTGATATTACTCAAACTTGCATATTAGCATGCTAATATGTCCTATTCCTAGCTAATAGATTCTTTACACAGCTAGCTAGTACAACTTTGTAATTCAATAATATAACAACAGACATATTATATTAAATTCAATAAAATAATCCTTTCAGGGAACCATATAAAATAACTTATGTTTTTAAGTGACCCAATTAAGTAGGTCACTTAAAAGCAACTTAATTCATATTAAAGGGGTCATATGATGTTGCTAAAAAGAACATTATTTGGTGTATTTGGTGTAATGAAATGTGTTTATGTGGTTTAAAGTTCAAAAAACACATTATTTTCCACATACTGTACATTATTGTTTCTCCTCTGTGCCCCGCCTTTCTGAAACGCGTCGATTTTTACAAAGCTCATCGGTCTGAAAAGCGAGGTGTGCTCTGATTGGCCAGCTATCCAGTGCGTTGTGATTGGCTGAATACCTCAAGCGTGTGACGGAAATGTTAAACCCCTTACCATACTGTGATGCCCTGTCCGGCCAGAGCAACGATTCAAACACATGAAAACCCATTTCAAACTAGGCTTTTGTTGCATCCAGTGGGGACATAATTACGGATTATAATGATTTATACTGTCTTTTTACGCGTTGCGTTGCATCGCGCCGCGTAAACATAAAACCATGTCTGCATTTGTGATCGGAGAAATGACAAACAACAAGCGCTACTCTACACTGCTCAAAACTCGCGTTTGAATTGTCAGTGGCAAATCCTTAAAATTAAAACGTACTTACAGTCTGTGAGTCAGAACAGCCGGCATTTTAGTCTACTCTACCAGGATCAGGAAACAGTCCTCCATAAAATGTGCTACACACAAATGAATATTTTGGTTGAACTGTTCTGGAACAGTGTTGTAAATACAGCTTAACCACTGATTTCTAGTCGTGTCCTCCTTTGGAAGACCAAACAAAGTAGTTTCTGTTTCACAACGAAACACATGGTGGTGGGCGGGCTTGAGAATGGCGTGGCAGGCGGATTTGACGAAGGAGCGGCCGGTGGGCTTGCGGCAACCACATGTGACCACTCCGCTTCATCCACGGTGAAAGCCGATCTGGCGATCCACAGCGCGAAGTTGATGTATTTCCTCAGCGACCAGCACGGATCAGCTCTAGGCATGACGAAGCCATATCGTCCTCTTTTGGAAGGCCAAACTAATTAGTTTCGCTAACAAAACACACAGCGCCTTCACGACATGGCGGCAGCAACAATACTACAGCGAGAATAAAAGTTACGCCTTCTTTCTTTGCGTGAACATTTGGGCGGCATTATGCAAATCTTCCCACATTGTGACATAGACATGTGGGGGCGTGTTAGAACGAGCCGTTTTAGGTAGGTGTGGCTGACTCTTAACTTTTATAAAGAGTATCGCTTTGGATTTGAGACTTTAGTCTTTGCAACTTTACAGATATTCTTTATGCACCAAGAGCTTGTAACACTTCAAAGAGAAAGGCAAAATTGAAATCACATCATATGACCCCTTTAAGTTACATTAGCATTTCCATGTTAGCAATTAGCAATTTTTTTCCTGATTAAGAATTATTAAAAAAAGAAGAAATAATTATAAATACAAAAAAAAAAATGTGCATGATTAAATGATGTAAATTCAAAACACTTTATTTTCTTACTGTGGCAGAGTGACAAATGAGAGAAATATAATTTGTGGGTTAACTAATCAAAACATTTAAAATTCATGAAACTCTTTCCAATTTAAGTTTCGGAGGCCTTATTCTTGATAAGACTGTGAGCGATCCAAACTTTGAGGGAATGGCGGTCTTCACACCAGTCATAAACGGTGAGTAAATGTCAATGACAAATCACACTTCGAGCAAAGACACCTTTCACATACTCAGATCTTTCACATAACCACACTGAATGCACAGTATGCAGTACAAAGTAACATCAAACCTGAAAAACAAGTTCAGAAACTTCATTTAAGGCCCTTTTCCCTCTTCAACTTCTCATTACAATAAAATTAATCACATCTCTTTCTGCGTTTGGAACTCGATTCGTGGATTCAGGGAGGCGATTGGACAGCGCTGCCAAAATAAAAGTCTCATTCCAAAATCGTCTCAATAAATCAGAGCACTGGCTCTTGGCTCACGACATTTTATAGTACATGAAAGAAGTCAAGTATTTTGATGGGAGTTACTAATAGACTTAAAAACCCCAGCTGAGGCGGAGTTTGTTTGGTTTTATGTAAAATATAACTTTTTTGGTTTGTCAGCTCTAGCAATCTGGTTTCGATTTCCCCTCTCTGGTTCCATTCCTACCCAGCTGCACATGTGCTCTACCCGTCCCGTCCCTCTCGAACGATGACTCAACACTATATTGGCATTAACTACACACTTCCCAATGGGAATAGAGCATGTCGGAGTAGTAAAAGTGGCCTAATCCAGTAGTAGCTGTGATTTCTCAGCCAAAGACTTCTCTGACGTCTTCTCTAGTTGTTACTCTGGATCTGGACCCTATTTTTCCAGCTCGATCCTGAGACAAACTGCCCTTAATGAGGAACACAAGACGGCTGTGATTCAGGAAGACTAATTTGATACTTCATTACCTAGTTTGATGTGCCCTCCTGCTGTAATATTCCCCATAGAGTGTCGTTTACCAGTTTTACATCGAGCGAAAACATGGAAAAGCTATTAATTGTGAACAAAGTACTCTGAAAATATGCTTATGATGTATATTTGACGAACGTCAGTGTACACACTCCCCTAGCCGCATGCTGCGTTCCAGCACACGTTTCATTTGCGACTGAAATGAGGAGAATATGAGAATTGTAATGGTGTAATGATTGGAAAGCTCTCACATTCTTTCCTTTTTGAACTTTTCAGGTGTGGGGGGGAATCTGGTGGCCATCCAGGCCAGTCGGATCTCCACGTACCTTCATTTGTGGAGCGTACCTGGAGTCCTGCCCTATAAGATGAGACAGCACTGGCCCAACCCCTGTGCCACATTCTTCTCCTCAGGTGAGGTCACTTTCAAGCTATTTGTGCACCTCAGATGAATTCACACCTTCAGATACTTGAGATAAAGTGGGTAATTAGTCATGTTGGGTAAGTCAAGCTTTGCTATTGCTGAACAAAGCATGAACCCTGATATTTGCACTTCAGCACATTAATCATCTGCACCGTTCGTGCTACATACATGAATGATATCTCAAACTGTGCTGCTTTTTGAGGAGGGGTGTGCTGTTCAATTTCTTAAGTGTTAGACTATGATTTCCCAACAAAAATAGTGTAGATTTACATTGAAGGAGAGGCTTGAACTTTATTTAGAGACAACTCTGGGATGGGCTTTTGAAGTAGTCTAGTAAAGAACCAAATTTTTCTCCTCAGGTGTGAACTCTAAGTCAGCGCGGGTGCTGTTCCTCCTGGTGGTTCCAGGTCATCTGTTGTTTCTTTTTGCCATTAATATGCTCCAAGGAGGCCACACTGCCATCACGCCAGCATTTATCTGCTGCTACTTGGGTGCTGCTCTGCTTCAGGTGAGCCTTAGTGCTCAAAGCTTAAGTGTTTCAATTCTGCGTCACTAGTGCTGGCAAACAGAATTGCAAAAAGAATTACTGAATGACCACAAAAATGGCATACATTACTTTTTGCCCAGTTAAAAGTTTAGATGAACACTGACTCTTTATTAGTTGTTTACAGTGATATGAAACAAGCAGTGTATATTACATTTTTCTCTCTTAGATTTTCATCATCTGGCTAAAAAGCATGAAAATAGTGCTTTTATTGTTCCAGGTCAAATGTGGAAATTGGTGTGACTATTCAGCCTCCTCCCAACTTCCTAATTGAATGATGTGGCTAAAAATACAATTTATTAGCATTATAAAATAGGGTGTGTTTTTAAATGTGACTAATCCTGAATTGTACTTAAAGTCTTAAAGGGGTGGTTCACTGTTTCTTTTCTAGGCTTGATTGTGTTTATGGGGTGCAGTCTAACATGTTAATTCTTCGTAAAAAAAAAAAAAAACCGCATTATTTTTCACATAATTTACCTTTATTCCACACCCCTCTGTCCCTTCTCTGAGAAACGGGCTGATCTTTTCCTGTTTTTTTGAAGCCCCGCCCTCAGAAATAGGCGATGGGCTTTGATTGGTTAGCTAGCCCAGTGTGTTGTGATTGGCTAAACCGTCTCTAGTGCGCGTCTAAATACTTTGTCTCATACTTTTAGATATGCTGTTATTTGTAAATGCTAGCTTTTATGTTAGCTTTTAATATACGGTTTTATCCTGATTAAAGCTTTAATACAGTACGGCAACTGCACGCGCGTCCATGTTTAACGCTTATCATAGCTATGTGAAAATAAATGTATAATTGGAACATTTCATTGTTGGAGCTGAGCTGAGCTGATGAGAGAGAGAGAGGCAGAGTGTGTGCTGAGCAGCGGACGCGAGGAACAGTATTAAGAACCGGTGCTTTAGAACATTGATTTTGAAACTTGTGAAGCCATTAGAATCATTAGAAGACAGAATCGCGATTCATATATGAATAGATTTTTACGTGCACCTCTAGTTTTCTCTTCCTCTTCTCTAAAGCAGCGCAGCATGGCCTCGCCCCTTTGCTGCTTTTTCCCGAGGGCGGGGTTTATCTGGGTTTGTTACGTCACGAACCTGGGAAGTAACTCGTTGTAGTCCCTACCAGCCATTTTTGTAGGCATTAAACTGCCAGAATTTTAAAAGACGATACCTCCGTTTGCATTGAACTTTCAGCTTTGTAACTTTGCAGATATTGTTTATGCTGAAACAGCAACATTACACACTAACTAACGTTAAAAAAGTGAAATCGCAATCAACCACCCCTTTAAAGAAATCTCTTGGAAGTAAAATACTAATAAAGGACCCCAAAAGGAAGTAAAGATATTGGTCAGTTTTACTACTATATGTAGAGTAATACAATAATAGTAATAGTGTAAAATATTATTCCGTTTTTAACTCTTTTCTATTTTAATATATTGTAAAATGTATTTATTCCTGTGATGAAAAGTTGAATTTTCAGTATCATTACTTCTGTCTTCAGTCACATGATTCTTCAGAAATCAATTTTATATGCTGATTTGCTGCTTTATGATTATCAGTGTTTCTGTTTTAAAAAAGTGCTGCTTTTTTGTAGTTTTTTTTAATCAATATAAAGTTCAAAAGAAAGATGAAGAAAATGTATATAAATGTCCTTATATTGTCCCTTTTGATAAATTTTGTGCCTTATTAAGTATTAAGTATTATTAAAAGTATTAATTAATAAAAGATTAATATTAATTTCATTTAAAAAGAAAAATCTGTCTGTTTTCATAATATGGGAAATAATTGAATGTTTATTCTTGTTTTTCTTCACAGGTTGGGATCCTAATTTATACAGCAGACCTGATTGTGCGTTTGATGTGGAGGAAAGGTCTGGACCCGGATAACTTCTCCATCCCATACCTGACTGCGCTGGGAGACCTGTTGGGCACGGGTTTCCTGGCCCTGTGTTTCCGTTTGGTCATGTTAGTGGAGGAGCTCGGCTTGTAAACTGCTAGACCTCACCCCCCCACACTTCCTACTCCAGCTCCCAGTTCACGGGACCTTTGCTGCCGAGGTTGGTTGCAGTGGCTTTGGAGATGTGAACTTGTCTGTGGGAAGCTAAAGACAGAATATCAGCCACATTGTTTTTGTGCTTACAGGATAGGTTGACTAGAAATATGAAAAACATCGGCAGGTATGTTCTTATTACCTGACAGCCTGTTATATGATTATACTCTTGGTGTGTTGTCCTCGCCTCAGTGATGCTGCTTTCATACACACTAGTCGCCTGATTACTGTATATTAAGGTATAACTTTAGGTGCAAGTGTTACACATTTTTATGCGCCATGTATAAATTGAATTTGAAGTTAACAAGATTTAAGACCTTAAAGGATTCTGGGATGTTTGTTATTTATTTATTTATTTTTGAATATTTTTTTTGAATATATGATTTAGGATTGTATGTTAGTGGAGGAGCTCGGCTTGTAAACTGCTAGACCTCACCCCCCCACACTTCCTACTCCAGCTCCCAGTTCACGGGACCTTTGCTGCCGAGGTTGGCTACAGTGGCTTTGGAGATGTGAACTTGTCTGTGGGAAGCTAAAGACAGAATATCAGCCACATTGTTTTTGTGCTTACAGGATAGGTTGACTAGAAATATGAAAAACATCAGCAGGTATGTTCTTATTACCTGACAGCCTGTTATATGATTATACTCTTGGTGTGTTGTCCTCGCCTCAGTGATGCTGCTTTCATACACACTAGTCGCCTGATTACTGTATATTAAGGTATAACTTTAGGTGCAAGTGTTACACATTTTTATGCGCCATGTATAAATTGAATTTGAAGTTAACAAGATTTAAGACCTTAAAGGATTCTGGGATGTTTGTTATTTATTTTTAAATATTTTTTTTGAATATATGATTTAGGATTGATTTCAAAGAAAATGGGAAAGTCTCAAAACTTTGAAGGTCATTCCTTTGCTGTTTTAGTAATTACATACAAGGTCATAATTACTGCTAGATATCTTTACTGGATACTATATCTCATATACAGAGGGTCTGCTGTACCTCTCAGTTTGTAATTTTTTTGCACCTGAAATATTTTTTTCTCAAAATACCACACTTTGGAAAAAGGCAAAATCCTATAATGAATGTAATTGTTTGTTCACTTGAATGAATTGATGGCAATTAAATTGTTCATGTGGCAGTTTTATTCAACACATTTGTAATATCTTCACTCTGAATTATAATTAACCTTTATCACATGATTTATCTACAGTTGAGTGTTGTGGTCCCTAAAACAGTAAAAAAATATATAATTCACATTTGTCCAGAAAACAAAGTTTCACTGTCGTACCAGAGGCAGTGTGCCTTTATAATTAAATGTTAACAAAAAAAAAAAGAAAGCACATGAAATAATCACGGTTGGTTGATGTATTCCCTGTTGTCCACTAAAACAAAATTTAAAAGTTTATTTACCCTTCAAAGCAAGATTCCATACTGTCACAGTTAGTGCACAGTTTTGCAGCACATGTATGCCCACAAGCTTTCAAAATAGGTGCAAGCTGTTGTTACATCACAAATGGCACATACTGTTGCCACACTCTCAACAGCTCAGCTCATACAGTGAAAGGCTTTCCCACACTCACATTTCCCATATGAATCCTCTAACAACACATTCATAATTTGATTTATTTTTGAATATTTTTTTTGAATATATGATTTAGGATTGATTTCAAAGAAAATGGGAAAGTCTCAAAACTTTGAAGGTCATTCCTTTGCTGTTTTAGTAATTACATACAAGGTCATAATTACTGCTGGATATCTTTACTGGATACTATATCTCATATACAGAGGGTCTGCTGTACCTCTCAGTTTGTAATTTTTTTGCACCTGAAATATTTTTTTCTCAAAATACCACACTTTGGAAAAAGGCAAAATCCTATAATGAATGTAATTGTTTGTTCACTTGAATGAATCTGATTTTCTCTCACTTTAAGAGTTCTAAGGGATAGATAATCCTCTAAACACATACTGGTACCTCTCTAAAAACCTTTATTGCACTTCAACCCTTATTATAAATTCATAAGACGAGTGTTTCCTCCCGGGATCATGCTGATGTTTGACCTGCAATGCCCAGTGAGTAGTTTAGACCTCACCCTGCATCCATAGCTTAACAAGAGCCGCACTGATGAGGGTCTACCTTTCCCCAACCACAGCTATGCACTGTTTACCTAGCCCGCTGCATGCTAAATAAAGAGGTGGCTCTGTGATAACACCATTTCTTTCCAGAGTAGCTAAACCAGCCAAGGTAGACAGCCTTGTCCAGTTTGCGAATGCAGAAGTCTAAATTCTTCCCTTACCCTTGTCTCCTTCCAACATGTTACCAGCTATCTGCTTGAAAAAGTTGATGGTTTGTTACTTGGAAACTACCTTTGTGATTGGGCGTAAGGTTAAGGTCTGAAATCATATCCAGGGAATGTTAAAAAGGAGTCTTTGAGATCAGCTTCATGGAATCTCTTCGAGATTAACGTCAAGGCTTTGCTGGTTCCAGTTCAAGAGCAAAATCCACAATAAATATGCTTCGTAAACAATACCATAAATATCCTTTTGGGTGGTGAAGATTAAAGGAGATTAAACATTCATAGCATTTGTCTGTTGATGAGGAATCCCGCTTCACTTATCAACATTCAGAAGGACAAAGGCACATACTTGGAGCTCGGTCGCAAGTTACCAAAGCCAAAGGAATTACAGACAGTATTTTGTGAACTTTCGGGATGGGATGAAACACCCCCGCCAGCACTAATCTGTTCACAATGCTAAATTTTGCCTCAAGGGAGCGAGGGCGATGCCATATCCAAGACGCATCATCTACAGGTTCCCTCAGGTAATTCACTCGAATCCAGACACGAGCGAAAGTTTAAGCATCAGTGCCCGCAAGACTCACATCCGCGTGTGCAAGTTATGGATCAGATGAAACTTGCTGAAACCCTCATCTCAACTTCAAGTATGCCGGCACAGAGTAGTTAAAAAGCAAGAAGTCCATTCGGTAAAGGTTGAAGAGTTTCTTCTGGTAAAAAGGACTGATGTTGTCGAAGAACTTGGCGGCCATGTCACCCGTGGTCCTGGTGCTTTTGGAGGTGGCCGGGAATTTGACCTCTCCTTCGGCACCTGCTAACTTCATGATGTAGCGCGAATCTTGCGCAAGAGTCTCGTACTTGCCCACCACGTCATAATGGATCAAGCAAGGGTGGCAAAGCGAGTGAACCCTTTCCCAGTGCTCATTGAACGGTTCCTCTCTCTGAGTCTGGGGGTCTACTAAATAATACACAAATTCCTCGAAGGAGACATCGTTGCCTTTTTCCAGTGCTTCAGCCTGGGGGTCCTCACGATGCCTCCGGATGATTTTGGTCCCGTAGCGTTTGTGGAAGGCTGTGTTGTAACTACGGGTAAACTTGTTGCGATATGCCGAGACAAGTCTTTCGACGGGTTCGCGCACAAAGACAAACTTCAGATATGTGCGTAGGCGCTTGTTGATCTCAGCCGTGGAGTACTCTGAGAGCGAACGCAGGTTGCCCGCTACGTGAGCCTCATTGGCCGGAATAGCCAGTGGTTCGCGATAGCGCCCATCTCCTGTTAGTACCATCAACACACGTTTCCAGTTTGTACATGCCACTTTGGGGACGTAGCAATACAATAACTTGTGTTTATCGTCCACTATGAGGTGGCGGAGGTCCTCCGGGCCAAGTACGCGTCTTTTGCGGGTGTGGGTGCGACAGGTTTCCTCCAGGAGTTCCCTTCGACCCTGCAGAGTGGCTTGCACTGCAGACTGCTCCAGCTGGACAGGAATGAATGGTATAACAGGAAATGGAATGAAAAAAAGTCACATGGGTTCAGAACAGAATTTCATTTTTGGGTGAACTATTGCTTTAAAACCGAAGTCTTTTCTTCTGAAACCAAATGTAGGATTTCTTAACAGTGCACTTATGGGAACCACAGATTGCATTACATGCGAACACATGTATTTGCGTGACTTTATGTGATACGACAGTTGCTGTTTGAGGGAAGTTCTTGTGAAACCATGAGGCACATAGCTGTAATGGGAGGGTAACGGTTTTGCCTGGGGATGAGCCACAGATGGGTTTGATAACGGCAAGAATATAATAGGATTTGATGAGCTGGTAGTGTTTCAACTGGAAGGATTTTATCTAGACGTTCCACTCAGACCTATAAAGGGATAGTTCACCAAAAAATGAAAAGTCTGCCATCATTCACATCATGTCATTCTAAACCCATACAACTTACTTCTGTCCCCCCCCCCCCCTTTTTTTTGCGGAAATAAAAACCTGTTCTTTTT